CTTCATCTATCGAATCTATCCAGAGTTCAGAGAAAACCATTGGTGATTGGTGTTTCTATATGGTCAAAGTTAAACATCAATTATCAAAAATCAGTACCAGCAGGACACCCAGAGAAAAATCTGAAATGGCCAAAAAATAATTTAGTGCGTGCATCTCTAGTTCCAACATACTCTAAGACTTCTCAGCTGTGTGAGTTTTCATGTGGCGCAAGAGCTGACTACTATAGGTGAACATTTCCCCACATGTTTTACAATGATGCGGTTTCTCTCCTGTGTGCGTTCTTATGTGCACCGACAGGTAACTACTACGTGTGAACATTTTCCCGCACATTTTACAAGGATATGGTTTCTCTCCTGTGTGAGATCTTACGTGCTCCAGCAGACGACTACTGCGTGTAAACATTTTTCCACATGTTTGACATGGATACGGCTTCTCACTTGTGTGGATTCTCATGTGGACAGTCAAAGTACTCTTCTGACTAAAACGATGCCCACACATTTCACAAGAATACGGTTTCTCACCTGTGTGGATTCTGTAATGTCGTTTCATTTCATAATTATCTTTAAAGCATTTTCCACAAACGTCACATTTTAAAAACTTTTTAGCTGTGTCAAAATTATACTGACTCCCTGATCTGGGAGGAAATTCTTGACTTTCATTTTTATTTCCAGTTGATCCTGGATCTGCACTCCTGCTTTCTTCCTGATCCTGGCTCTCAGCTACAGCAGAGCCTCCTTCTGATTCACTGTGGTCTCTTTCCTCATTAGGAGCAGGCACCATTAAGGTATCAGTCTCCTCCTTCAATCCAAGCTCCTCTCCCTCCTCACTCCTGCAGAGTTCCTCCTGTTCCTCTTTAATCTGTGGAGGTTCTGGCTCTTCCTGGCCCAGACTGGAGCTCCTCTCCTGGTCACAGAGCTGCAGCTCAATGAGAACCTCCTCCTCCTTACAGACAGGCAGCTGCGGGACGTCTGGAGGGACTAAAGGAGACAACAAAAACAAAAGTGAACTGAACATGATTCTCTGAAATGCACAAAAGGTTTCCAATTGTTGTCAGTGCTGCGAATCGCTACCTTATCGTGGTGGAGGGGTTTGTGTGTTGTGTTGTCTGGGGGCTTTTCCCCCCTGGAAGGGTCTCATGTGGCAAATTGGTCCAGGGTAAGGGACTAGACAAAGAGAGATTCAGAAGACCCCTATGAGTGTAAGATCAAGGGAACAGTTCACCCTTCCTTGGATAGGGTTACCAGAGCCCTGCCCTGGAGCCAGGCATGGGGAAGGGTGTTCATGGGCAAGCGACTGGTGACTGGGCCTTAGTCCATGGGGCCCAGCCTGAAAACGGGACACGGGCCCATCGTCCTGCAGGCCCACCACCTGCAGGAGGCGGCGTAAGGAACCCAACCTCTAGGAGCGGAGCGGAAGCCCTGGTGGACCGATCCCTGGCTACCAAGACTGGCAATTGGGACATGGAATGTCACCTCTCTGGGGTGACAATGGGGAAGGAGCCTGAGCTAGCCTGCCTACTCAAAAGTAGGCCGATAGAAGCCAGACGTGTCTCCCTGCCAGCGGCTTAAAATAGTTTCTGGTGACTTGTATCAAGGTGTTACCCTACTGTGACACAAACTCAAACTCTTTCAGGTACCTGTAATCAAGGGAAGTCAAAACTGTTTTTCTCGCTATGATAGCATATAATCGATATTATGTGGTACAATCAACCTTCACTTTTCTCTGGTGGTATATTCAAGGGAGCAAACACTGAAAAATGTAGGCTAAAGAAAATGGCATGAGGTAAAGCTAGTATTGGTTTTAGTCAAAATCATGAATTCACGAACGTAGAGTGAGTATAGAGATTGACAAACTACGTGACTTTCGCGCATTGCATGCCGGGAACTCGTGGCAAAACAATCCAAGTACCTGCATCAAACGCAAGCATTTGCAGCACCGCAAAACGTTCATTCTTCAGTTCCAATAAATTCTTGCTTTTTCTTTGCCCCCCAAAAAGGTATGTACAAAACGAAGGAGAACAATGCCGGTCCGTACAAAGACAGACTTGATGAAAAGTCAAAGAAAAGATAAAAAATCAAAGGAGTGAAAGGGTCAGACCCTTACGAGCACACAGAGGGACAAAATACGTTAGCGTGCTGCCCAACTTTCACCACGCTCATATTTATAATCATACGGTTCTTGGAGTGAGTGCATACACTCATGAAGTTTAGTAACTTCAGGTCACTGCAACAAGCCCAGGTACAGTTTACCGACGGATGGGTGCAGGACCTTGAAATGCACCGTGTAGAACGAAAGACCATCGTACGAACAAAGGTAAGTTTACCAGTCTCACAAATCTCTGTCATAAATACACATTCGTTAACCGTTTATTAATAGGACCTTTGAGCTCAAGGGTAATTAATTAGTAGTGGAAATAATTTCTGGTAGCATCACAGAAATGTAGCAGTGACAATAATACTGTATGCTGTAATCGCACTGGGCAATTAGTGATACAAAACAACTGTTTTATCCTGTGAATGAAAGTATATGTTTTTGTCAATGTACCATAATAACAGAAGCGAAACGCAATATTGTGTCAGGACAATTCACTATTTATGCACAATAAACAAAGGAGCATAGCGCGACAATTTCTGTTCAGCGCCAGACTTGCTTGTAACCTATATCACCAATTATGTTATGAAAATGACACATTAACTACAACAGCAGACTGACCTGTGTGGGAATGCTTGGAGCAGACTAACCTGTGAGCTGGAGTGTTCTGGGACGTTATATTTGGTCTTTGAATGGCTGCAATCCAGGCCATCCGTCGCCTCTTTGTTACTTCGGAAACATGGCTCGAACAATTTCTCTTCAACGACGTAATCCGATAACAACCGATCTCTTTACCCGTCGGCTTCCCGTGGCTGTCATGCGACCGGCTATTGTAGTTAATAATACAACAGCTTCTTGACATTTTTTGTGTTTCTTTTTATCGCTGTGTGACTGATTTCAATTGAAAGCCTGTGTGCTAGTACCTCTTGCCACGAGTTCCCAGAATTCTTTGCGGTTTTACCCCTGAATGACGTCACATTTTCAATCTCTATAGTTCATGACAGTGGAGGGATGGATGAATGTTACTGCACTAAATGAGTTTACAGAAAAGCACGTGTGCTCCCTGTCCTCCTCCTGTGTAACACACCTGATAAACCACACACATGTACCTGGATTAGCTGATTTCATGAGACAGATGCTGCTAACCCTAACCCCCCCAGGGGGGCACTTCACAGGTGTTTATAGCTAATGCAGTGATGTAGCCGCCATTCTGGATCAGGACATGGCACACGATACATGACTATATCAGCTACTTCCACTGGAAACTGTGGTGACAGCAAAAAAGTCCACTTTTTACTTCAACAGAGACTGCTTACTAAGATATTTCCTTATATTAAAAAAATAAATTTATTTATGAGATTTTCTGTCATGTTTAATGCTGCACACTGTAGACCAGGGGTCTCAAACTTAAACGAGCTGTGGGCCACTGCTGGCACTGTCATCTCATTGGAGGGCAACTTTAGTGATCAAGTAGTACAAAAACAAACAAACAAACAAACAAACAAACAAACAAACAGCCACAAATATTTCTGAAAATGTTTGTTTTTTAAAATTTCAAATATTCTACAACAAGACAAAACAGCAAACATGAACGCACATTTCTTTGTCCCACTCTTCACTAACTGCAGCCTTCACTGATCTACCAAACAAACCCATCGGTCCTCTCTTCCTGTTCAGACACGTGGCAGCACTTCTATCATTTTGTTTGTATTTAACAAAATAAAAATGCAGACATAAGAGAACACATTCGTCTTTGACTCTCTCCCTGAACTCACACCTCAACATGTTTGTACTCTTTGCTCATATTGCCTTCATATCAAATCATTTTTGGCTTTTAAAGAACTTATTTTAACATTGCACTCAACAACAAACAAATCCTCCCTAACACAAGAAGTCACTTTAACGGCCAAATTGCAATATATAAGTAGGGAGGGGTGACGTGGGCTGCAGGTCTCCATAGAGACATTTACTAATGTCTGCTACATAACTACTACTTCACTTCAAATAAATAATATTAAAATAAATTTATTATTATGAATATCTGGTCACCTGACATTATTTGCTCTATCAAAGACAGTTTCACTTCATCATCTCCCTCTTTCTTAAATTTATAATTCATCCTCACAGCGCAGCCCTGTCCTCTGTTTGCTCTTTGTTAGCTCACATCTCCAAAAAGTCCTCACAATCAGAAACGTCCCGCAGAGCTGTGATCAGGATGCTCCCTCAGAGGGACACTCACCTGTCCTGTGCAGCTTGATTTGGGGTTTCCAGGTGATATCCAGCAGTCTGCGCTGACGGTCGATCTCTTCCTCGTACTGGACGATCGTTTTTTCGAACTCCAAGAATATTTGTTCAGCAGCAGCAGTTAGTCGCTCGTTGATAAACTCTCTCAGATACTGAACTGAAGGCATCGTTGCTGCCGCAGCTCACACACTCAGCTCACACACTCAGCTCACACACATAAATTGCGCCCTAACGCACAGAAATTACTCCACGTTCAGTCCGCACAGGCGTGAATGTCTCATAAAGTCTAAATTAAGCCTTTGAAGACGCAACAGCTTTGCTGCTCGCGCGACACACAAGAAACGGAACCACTTCCGCCTTTTCCTTGTTTACTTCCGCCTGCTGTCACACAGAGCGCTTCCTGTCGATGAGGAAAGTTCCTTTGAATCCCGCTCTCGTGTCTGTATGTTCTTTTAAATTCCCAGTTTGTTCTTCAAACAAGATGAAAAATACACAAACATATACCAGAGCTCCCGCACATCAATGAATTAATAAAGTTCATAAATGCGCTAAAATAAAGGTCACAATAATCTTTATTAAGCCTTTTTCTGACATTGTGCTCACATTAAGGTGAAGGTGACATTTGAACATGAACAAACTGTCTGAATGTGAGATTCACCAAATCGACCCGATGAGCTGCAACTTTCTGCAGCTAAATGAAGATAAGACTGAACACGCAGAGATATGAGAGGAGGAAGAGGCTGAAGGAGGAGGAAGAGGCTGAAGGAGGAGCAACACTGTCACAGAGCAGAAAAGGACTCCCACTGTCAGATACATTCAATATGTGAAGCATACAGAACAGATAGTGTGTGGAAGATGCTGTCACTGCATTACTGGCTCATGTTTCCTTTGTTTGTGATCACACTAACAGGTCGGTTAAAGCAGGAAGAAGAAATGTCTTTAAAGGATCTGTTTGCTAGAAATCACTGGAACAGGCGCTCACAGTTTAACATCGTCTTTAACAACATTTATCTCTTCCTTTAGGTGTCAGCTGTGATCAACTCACTGCAGTCAAGGATGAAGAGTCCACTGTAGAAGGAAACACTCTCACTCTGTCCTACAGATTCTCTGGACAAGCTAATGTCAACGATTATTTCTTCTGGTATCGACAATATCCAGGAAACCCACCAGAGTTCCTGATCTCTCATTTGGGAAATGGAGATTTATTGAAGCAAGAATTCTCCAGAGTGTCTTTTAAAGTCGTTGATGATCAAAGACAAATAACGATCTCCTCTGCTGCAGTGTCTGACTCTGCTGTGTACTACTGTGCTGTGAGGCCCACAGTGACAGGAAACAGCAAAACTCTGTACAAAAACCTTTGGAGCAAAGACAACAGAATACTCCACAACATCCACTAGAGGGAGCCACACACTGTTAAACCTCAGTGCTTTGGTTGGATATAATCCCTTTTTTTCACTCCACTTCACTAGTGTGACATGTGACTCAGTCCACTGTAAATCATTAAGTGCTGTTGTGAGTTTTGTGAGTCTAAAGTAAGCAAGTAGAGCAGAAACTAGGTGATTTATTATTTCTCATAAAGAGTTATTCTTGGCCTGATATGAACCATTTAGCAAACTGAGCGTGTTGAGCATCAATTTTTGTGGCTTCAGTTTTACTCTCACAATAACACCTGAAGAAAGAACTTTTCAAACAGCCTGTGTACAGACTGAAAGCTGGGACACCAAGTTCCAAAAAGTTGATTCTGTTCACCTGGACGTTTTCAGTGTGAGAAACGATTCGTCACTCATCCAGGTGACTTCTTCAGTCTCAGCTGACTCTAGGTTTCCTCAACTTTATAAACAGTACATTTGCACAACTGCTGATCAAAGAAATGGCTTTGGGACATCAAGGGTTATACAACAATGTATTTTAGTCCCTTTGCAATCCGGTATCATGAAGCTGTCAGCTGAGGACCTGTAAGGAGTCTGTTTTTCAAATAATGACTCAGACGCTGGTCCAGTTACATGAAAATAGTAATTAGTTACTAATTACTGATTACTTCTCAAAGAAAGTAATCTTGTTACTTTACTGATTACTTATATTCAACAGTAATTAGTTACTTATTACTTAGTTACTTTTTAAAAACATGATACACAAGCTCAGTACGTAATAAAGAAATAGACCTTTAGCCCATAATCCATCATATGAAACTGAATCAAATGAAAGTCTCTTTCTAAAATTCGTTTTATTAGTATTAATCTTTTAACTTTATGCATCAAGCAAAAATTAAATTATATGCAACAGTCTTTGACTTGAAGAAATGTGTTTAACATTTAAACCTATTTTCTGCACATTCCAGCATAAAATAAAGTTTTGTGTTTACACTTTTTCAAATAGATGCAAGTAAAACACAGCAAAAATAAATGAAATCAAAGATTCAGCAGCACTGAGTCCTGTCGCTCTTAAATCTATTGTCACCTGTTTAGCAGGAGTGGGGCGGGTGGAGGTTTGCCCACAGCGGTCGTGTCAGTGGGGGCATCCGGGTGTCTGTCTGTTAATGTCACATTCCCGTGGCAGCGTGCTCGCTGCTCGCACAGATTCGAAGTTTAATTTTTTGCTGTAGATTCAGTAAAAGGACTCGATGTTACGGTCCCTGATAATGCATTGCTTCAGATGGAGAGACTCTTGAGGGACGGCTGTTATGAGGAAAGCCCAGAAACTTTGTCAGCAGCACGCATCGTTGTGCCTCAACTTTCGGTCTTTTACCCAGGCTAATCTGCCTTTTTCCTTCCTTGGTTAGGTTTAGGGATTAGAGCTCTGATCTAGATTATCATTTTAAATTTGGGACACATCGTCAGTTGTGGACCTTGGATTCGTCGGGTGTTTCGGCCATTATCACCAGACACCCTCATCCAAGGAGGCCCTGCCAGGGTTGGTCAGGCCCCGGAGTGTCAGTGGTTTGTGTTAAATTGTTATTTCTCTCCTTCTTTCTTCTGTTTAGTTTCCTACAGTTTATTTTCTATCTATTTCTATCTACTGCAACTGAGAAATAATACTTACCTCTTTAGCATTTATGGAGCCTAACTTCTTCAAAGGGATAGAAAAGGTGATCGAGAGAAGTAAGACAAACGGGACAAGATAGGAGAGAGAAGAGCAGGGGGGGGCGCCCGGTCTGGCTTCCCACACCTCCCCCCCGGATCGGGCTGTACGCTCTACCTCCCCACTGCCTCCCAAAAAAGGGAAGAAGAGCAGAATATTTATTTTCTCATGGTTAGCTGACTGCCTTAGCTCCCCAAGTGATGTCAGCCCTTTTTAACCATGGCCAGTGACTGCTCCTCTCAGCACTGTTAGCTAGTTCTCTTATAGCCTGCCGTTGTGCCTGTCCTCTGATCCCAGTCTCTCTGAGCAGTTTTGCTGTTGGCCACAAAGCCCCTGCACCCCACTTCCACCGGGCCCACCTTGATCTTCCAGCCTCTCTCCTCTGCCTCAGCTGTTGTTGGCATAGCGCAGCTTCTTACGCTCAAATGCTTCCTCAATTGCTTCCTCCCATGGAAGTTTTCTGCCCACACAGAGTGTACAGTGGACGCTAATATTTTTGTCACTCTTTACAGACTCAAATTCAAAGTAATGCGATTACTTCCACACTTTAAACACTGCGTGTTTGTACTCTCTCCATCACACCATATTATACGTGTTGATCTGCACACGTCTGTTGCTGCCACGGACGTCACTGTCATGAGACACATTCACAAACAAAATCACAGTTTAGTAATGCAGCATGGCTACGGGAAAGTAACAGTAATCTAATTACTCTTTTGCAATACTGCTCATCTCTGATGTCCACTTCTCAGCGTGCAACAGGAACTCTGTGCTGTAGAGGGAGTAACACACGGTTGTATTCAATTCAGGTTTATTTATATAGCACCAAACAGTCACCTCAATGGGCTGAACACTGTAAGGTAAAGACCCTACAATGACATCATCATCATCATCACCTTTATTTATAAAGCACTTTAAAACAACCACAGCTGACACAAAGTGCTGTACATGTAAAATAAAATTACATGAGATATAAATAAAAACAAATAAAAGAGTGAAATCATTAATTAAATAACTGCTTCAATTAAAAGAGAAACTAAGTCTCACTGAGGTTAAAAGCCAAGGAATAAAAGTGGGTTTTAAGACGTGATTTAAAAGTGGACAGTGAAGGGGCCTCTCTAACGTGCATGGGCAAATTATTCCATAATTTTGGAGCCACGATAGAGAAGGCCCTGTCCCCTCTGAGCTTCCTCCTGGATCTCGGTACCTCCAGGAGCAGCTGGTCAGCTGACCTGAGAGACCGACAGGGTGTGTGGGGATGAAGAAGCTCAGAGAGGTAAGGCGGGGCAAGGCTGAAGGCATTTAAAAACAAACATGAGAATTTTAAAATGAACTCTAAAAGACACAGGCAGCCAGTGCAGAGAGGCCAGCACGGGGGTTATATGCTCTCTTTTACAAGTTCCTGTTAGGAGTCGTGCAGCCGCATTTTGAACCAGCTGCAGACGTGAGAGCAACGACTGACTGACCCCCACATAAAGTGAGTTACAGTCGTCCAGGCGGGAAGAAATAAAAGCATGGATCACTGCTTCAAGGTGCTGCCTCGAAAGAAAAGATTTTACTCTTGCCAGTCGCCTTAAATGATAAAAACTGGACTTCACCACTGCTCTGATTTGGTTGTCCAATTTAAAATCACTGTCCAACTTAAAACCAAGGTCAGTAACAACAGGTTTTAAATAGACTTCCAGGGATCCCAAATCTACAGAGGAGGACGCAGAGGGACCACTGGGTCCAAACACCGACACTTCTGTTTTCTTTTCATTAAAATTTTAAAAGTTTAGAACCAACCAAGCTTTAATGTCATCTAGACATGTCAAGAGAGGTTTTATGGAGATGCCATCCTTGTGCTTTAGTGGCAAATAAATTTGGCAGTCATCGGCATAACAATGAAATAAGATCCCGGGCCTTCTAAAGATACAGTAAAAAGAGTAGTGGCCCTAAAATTGAGCCCTGTGGGACGCCGCATGACAGAGGAGCAGAAGACGATTCGTAACCGAGAAGGCTGACAGAGAAAGTTCTGTCTGACAAATAAGACCTAAACCAATTAAGTGCAGTGCCACCAATACCCACTACATCACTTAATCGAGAAGTTAGAATATTGTGGTCTACGGTGTCAAAGGCAGCAGTTAGGTCAAGCAAGACAAGAACAACATGGTTACCAGAATGACATGCCAGAAGGATGTCATTAAAAACCCTTAATAATGCAGATTCTGTGCTATGAAGTGTTTTAAAACCTGACTGAAAAACCTCAAAGATGCCATTACCATCTAGAAAATCTTTCAGATGACTAAAAACTATTTTCTCTAAAACCTTGGAGACTAAAGGCAGCTTGGAAATAGGCCTATAGTTCGCTAAAACTGTGTGATCAAGGCTAGGTTTCTTAAGCAGTGGCTGCACTACTGCATGTTTGAAATTTGGAGGAACCACACCAGAAGACAGACTGCTGTTAATAATGTCAAGGACAGACTGCCCTATACCAGGAAAAATTTCTTTAAAGAATTGTGGAGGGAAAGGACCACGAGGGGAACCTGTGGGCTTAATATGGCGAACCACATCCTCTAAAGTGGAGAGCGTCACAAGCTCAAACTGAGTGAAAACAGCAGTGCAAGGGACAGAGACAGAGGGGTCAGAGTCAGGAGCTGTGATAAGAGCCCTGGTGGTGACAACCTTTTCAATAAAAAGTTCAGAAAATCATTGCAAATCTCAGGAGAAACTTCCAAACAGACATTCAGTGGAGTATTAAGAACAGAGACAGAGAGAAAACCCCAACAATAACATGAACACCTATGAGCAAGCACAGGCAACAGTGGGAAGGAAAAACTCCCTTTTAACAGGAATAAACTTCAAGCAGGAAAAGGCTCAGGGAGGGGCGGTCATCAGGTGAGAGGAGGAAGCCAGGACAAAGTCACGCTGTGGCAGAGAGCCAGAGATGAACAACTAACGATTAAACGCAGAGAAGAGTAAGTTTGTCTCACCAAATACAGTTGGTGTCTTAGAACAAGAACACTGTCAGGAGTTTCAGAAGTTTTATTGTTGCTCATTTTAAAACTATAATTGAAGCTCTGTGCTGTTAACTTGGTAAACTTCTTTTTGTTGCTCGAACATGTTTCAGTCAGACTGTGTGTGCAGGATGCAGTCGGAGCTCTGCAGGCTCCTCCTTCAGTCTGACCTTCTTGATGATGATGATGACTGCAGCATCACTGTCAAAGCTTCATCAGCTTGAATGGAAACAGAGCTCAGCAAGAGGAGGAGCTACAGCAGTGAACATGAAAGGCTTCATGTAGGAGCTGAAGAGCTGCTGTGTTCTCTCTATTGTTCATTCAGTCCAAGAGAAAATCATGTTGCTGCTTTTCATTTGGATGATGATAGTCTCCTTTCAGACTGGTGAGTCATCAAAAGATGGAGTGAGATGTAAAAGGAGATGATGGACATGAAAATATCTGGATGTTGTTTGAATTGATTCACTTTTTATAAACTAAGTTTAAAGATGCAGAAACATGATGGTGAAATATGTCTTTGTTGTTTTCAGGATCCTCTGA